GGGGAAAATCTTTTTAGTAGGGCCAGCAGTGACAAGACAAGGGGTAATGGTTTTAAACTAAACCAGGGTAGGTTTAGACTAGATATAAGGAAGAAGTTCTTTACAATGAGGGTGGTGAAACACTGGAACAGGTTGCCCAGAGAGGTAGTGGAGGCCCCATCCCTGGAAACATTCAAGACCAGGTTGGACGGGGCTCTGAGCAGCCTGATCTAGTTAGCGGTGTCCCTGCTTCTGCAGGGGGGTTGGACTAGCTGAGCTCTAGGGGTCCCTACCAACCCAAAACATTCTATGATTCTATGATTCTATGATTCTTCAAGTACATCAGTAGCAAAAGGAAGACTAGGGAAAATCTGGGCCCACTGCTGAATGAGGTGGGTGCCGTGGTGATGGAGGATACAGAAAGGGCAGAGTTACTGATTGCTGCCTTTGCTTCAGTCTTTACTGCTAAGGCCAGCCCTCAGGAATCCCAAACCCTGGAAGCAGGAGAGAAAGTCTGGAGAAAGGAAGACTTTCCTTTGGTCAAGGAGGATCAGGTTAGAGATCATTCAGGCAAACTGGACACCCGTAAGTCCATGGGCCCCAATAGGATGCACCCACAAGTGCTGAGGGAGCTGGCACATGTTATTGCTACGCCACTTTCTATCATCTTTGAATGGTCACGGAGAACAGGAGAGGTACCCAAGGACTGGAGGAAAGCCAGTGTCACTCCAGTCTTCAAAAAGGGCAAGAAGGAGGACCCACGGAACTATAGGCCAGTCAACCTCACCTCCATCCCTGGAAAGGTGATGGAACAGCTCATTTGGGATGTCATCTCTAAGCATGTGGAAGAAAAGAAGGTTATCAGGAGGAGCCTACACTGATTCACCAAAAACCAGCAACAGCCCTCTCTCATCCACTGCTCATCCCTTGCAGTGCAAAGGCATTGCCACTGGAACAATACCTCCAAGTTACCAGAAGACAAGTGAGAGATTTCAGGTTGGGTGCGTATAATCACAAGTCTTACAAGAAGCTGTCTTGATACACTGGCTTCAGAAGAACAGTGAGGAACAGAAGACAGGTGTGTTCCAGGCTGAAAGAAAGACCATATATGCATACATCATATCCAATAGCTCAGGAGGAGAGAGGGTGCATTTGAGTTTCAGCAAGAACAATGCAGTGAAATTAAGAGAAAATTTCAAGACAAGCACTGGCAGCTGCTCTTGTCCCTCACATTGCTGGGCAACCTTTGAAAAAAGAGATAGCAGAACTTCTGTTCTAGACTGGGGAAACAAAAAAGAAGCACTAAAGAATATCAAAGTCTTCATATGGGACAGCTTCCCTCAGCCCCCCAAATAAGCTTAGTTTGCTTACAGCTACTAGAAATACAGCAGGCATTCATTTGCGAAATTAGTCTAGTGATCCATGTTATTCATAAGGCCAGACCAGAGGATCTGCAAGATCCTCTCTGGTCTGAAAATACATCCAGCAGAGAACAATCTGCCATTGATTGAATACTTGAAAACTAATGACCTACTAGGGTCCTCCTTACCACCCCCACCCCTTTGACTTCCAGTTTATATAATCCAGTGGACAAAATCCACATTTCATTTTTTAGTTCAGTTAGTTTCAAACAAATGCCTTTACATTAACATTTCAGATTGTTAACCAAATGGAATAAATACGTCCCTCTGCAACAGCAAGTGGAGAAAGAAGAGAGGAGGTCTCTGCTTGCAGCCAGCAAGTTCTGCCTTGAACGGAAAGAATCTGAGCAAGACATTTTCCACAGATGTTCATGGAAAAACATTTCAGAGCACTGCCACATTTCAAGCCTATTGTGGCAGGAAACACTGAAGTTTCATGTGCGCAGTCCCCAGCTCGTATATAAAAAGCTTACAGGCCTCCTGCCATTCAGATAGATCACATTGCACAATGTGTATGCACACTGAAAACCCCTCCTTGAAACTTCACTCAACTCAGAGATCTGGGAGGGAGTCAAACTAGAAGAAAGGATTTCCAATCCTAGCAAGCCTCCCCACACCCTATCAAAAAGGAATCAATAAAAACAGCTGAGAAAGAAATTCCTCCTGTGACTAAAAGCTTCATGTAAAACCCTTTAAGGGCTTCCTTCTGCTGAAAATGCTGCTTCCGTATTGATCACCTCCCTACTTCATCCCTCATAGTGCAAGCTGAAAAATGCTGTCAAAGTCCAAGCCTTCAAAGTAGGGAGGAGGAGACTGGAATACCTTCTATTTTTCAAAGTTGTACTGCCTTATTATACACCCACCCCCAGTCACAGTTAAAATGCCTTTCTGTTACACTTTGAGAAACCCAAAAGTCAGGAAAACTGTTGCACTATTAGGAACAAACACACTCAGAAGCTGCTCATCACCCGTTTAACTCAGGATTTAGCAGAGTGGTGCTCTGCAGCTTTTACAGTTACCTGGAGAGCTGCACACCCCTCTGCTTTTTCTGACCCTTTCCTGTTAGTATCATCCCTCCAGTTCTGGGGAGCTTCTCATTCTTCCTAGAAACCACTAGCTAACTCAGCAGTTCTGCCTTTCACCACTCCCATTAGGGAAAAATCTGGCACCAGCTTCTTCCTCTCAAGAAGTTTGATAGCTGCCTGTACCACAGGATGCAAGACCAGGGTATGACGTCTCAGCTGTGCTTTTATAGCTGGCTCCACAACTTTGCCATTTTCCTCCAGCTCCCTGACTCAGTCACAGTTTGCATAAAAGACAGTACACCTCAGCAAACAAAACCAAAGTAATACACTCACAAAACATCTTCTGTCTTGTATACCTGATTCCAAATAATAATTCCACAGTTAGTCCATTCTAACTGTGCTCATCACATGCCCTCATCGTGCCCAGAGATGAATGTCCAGCAAGGATATCCAAGTAACAACTGAAGGACACAAAGTTCACCCACCAACTGAAGAAAGGAAGGTATTACAAGACAGATTTTGCTACATGCCAAGATTATTTTGGAAAATAGTTCTCCAGGAGATTGTGCCTGGGATCTCATTTCTCTCCATTCTTTTTTGTAAAGAATGAAAGGCCGACAGGGCTTCAGGACCATCCCTCCCCCTGCTCCAGCCTTGCTACTGGAATTCACACATTCTCAGGGCAGTGCTACAGGCTGACTCCCTTTCTTCATTCTACGCGCCAGAAATCCTATCTGGGTGAAGAGGCTGGGAGTAGAGAGTGACAGCAAAAAAGTCAAGACTGCAACATGCACGCTTTCCTCCCATGCATAGCTCACAGGTTTCCCTCTGAACCATGGATATAAATAGCATGCCACCAAACATTTTGGATGGGAGTTCAAACTGACTTAACGTGAGCATGTTGGGAGAGTCAACAACCACCACTTTTGTGCAGCAAAGCCTCCACGTAAGAGCTTGGAAGGGAGGGATTTGAGACAGATTTCATTCTTGCTGGTTTCTTGCATCACGCCTTTGCAAATGCTGCTCTCCCACGGTGTCTGACACAGATACCAAGAGTAACAAGGCTGAAACCGTAGCCCATTAAACCATCTTGAGAAGACAACAAATCTACAGCAATATTCAGCTGTGACAGTGCTGCTCTAAGAGGCATTTGGAACATAGACACCTAACAGATTATTTTCAGAACAGTAACTTACCATAAAACTAAACAAAAAGCCAACCAGAAATTACCTAGAACTGAGAGAAGCACTGAGCTGAGTCAATGTCCTCTCTCTGGCCAGCTTAGGTCAGGCTGCATCTTCATTAGGGTTTGTATCAGGATGCTACATTTTCAAAGCTTCTTACAAAGTGATGTTCTCATTGCAAGGCTGTCCCCCTATGCTCAGCCTTGTCCTTTTCCCAGCGTGCCTAGTATAAGGAAGTTTGGTTTTTAGAAATCAACCTCGTAGAGAACAGTTACCTTAGCTATGGATGCAACCAGAAGTCAGGTTGCTCTTGTCTAGCCACAGACACATCTTCTAAAAACCCTACAGCCCCACTATTATAAGCAGAATAACTCACATGAAGAACAAGGGATTTGAGGAGAGACTTCCTCCCAAACTGTGCATGTGAACAGGGCAGAAGCTTTGAGATAAAGCAGCTAACTAGAGAGCTCCAATGTAGGACACACATTTGGCCTACACCGAGAACTCTTCAAAACTGCTCCAAAAGTCACCAGTTTGGTTTATCAAATCATGAAGTGAGCCCCTCACTCATAAGCGCACCACCATTATAAAAACAACTCTGCAGTACTTCCCACCCATGCAGCATGATAGGAAGTCAGTGTTAACATGCATCTCTGATGATCCAAACCAACCCTGTCCCCTTCTCCCTCCCACCAACAATATACCAGGACAGGCACATTTCTCTAGAAAAATCTCAACAGACAGGCTATGTTACAGCTGAAGGTGAGGGTTTCAGCAAGGATGTGAAGAACAGGATGCACTTCTGGTGCTGAAATTCATCCCAATTTGTGGAGCTTTGTAATCCAGCCACAAGTGGCCTTTAAGGTCTTCCAGTGGCAGGATGCACTTGCTGAGATGGCCAAAGTGTCACTATTACCTTGACCTGACCATTTTTGGTAATTACGGCAACAGGAAGGTGTGCTCAGGCAATTTAATGCTATGCTAGCAGAGTCTGTTCTGGAATAGAAATCTAGTTTATATTAATGTCCTTCCAGAGCAACCGCTACTTAACAGCAATCTAGTGATAAAGCTGGCAAATGTGGCAGCAGTTATTCCATACTGAGAACCAGCTCTGAGCCTGCAGGACCATAAAAGCTGCATTAGTAAAGAAAAACCCAGGGGTTATGATTATAGCCAAATCATTAAACATCTTTCTGTAAACAATCAATAGCACAAAGGACACAAGTACCACCAAAGGAGACAAACAAAGCTCTGAGCCATCATACCATTTGGAGACCCTTCCATGTTCCAAAGGGTAGGTATTTCCCAGAGACAAGAAAACCACTGGGAGAGCATCAAAGAACTCCCTCCCTTTCTGGCTTAGACACACAGCTTCCAGATTCTGTACCAACCTGATGTCTGGAAGTCTATCTGGATAGGGTTGGATAAGCCATTCACCGCTTCACGCCACATGCCACCACCACCTGGAGACCAGGCAGTCACCACACAGCGATACAGCCCAGCATCAGAAATCTGGGTCTGATACATCCTGTAGCGGAACTCATTCTCCTGGACCTTCTCCAGAACCACGCCGTCCACACGAGTCTGGTCTGTCCAGTCTTCCAGTCGCACTACTGAATCCTGGTTCAAGGAGATTATGCGAGTGGTTCCATTGGGATTTGACTGATCCGTTAGTGGCTTCTCAGCAGTAATGAGGACAGAATAGCGTGGCGTCTTGATGTTTTTTGAAGACACTTTGCATGTCATCTCAAAGGTGTGTCCTGCTACAAAGAATGGCTTCAGTTTCACCGCCTCCACTGTAAGCGTGTAATCTGAAGAGGGAATGAAATAAGCAGCAAAGAGAGGGGTTAATAAATAGGTGCAGATATTTCTGCAGCACCTTTCAATCTAGAAGATTACAAATAAGCAAAGTACTTTTTTGGAGATGCAAATCCCGGTACATTTATCTAAACACATAGGGACATCCCAGAACGCTACTCAGCAACACATACACACCAGTACACAACAGTTTGGGTCAAGATGCAAGGATTCAAACAAACACCAAATACTGAACAGATAATGCAATACACAGGTCATGACAGGACCTCCAGGACTTTTTTGTTCAGGAGTAAAGATAATAGTCAGACAAGACTCAAGAGTCACAGTTTTACACTGGATCTGGAAGAGCACCCTCAGCAACAGTGTACAAGGACACACTCCTGACTAGTGACATAAGCTGCCACTAACCGAATCAGCAGCACTTAGTGTAGCTCCTTTTATTTCCCTTGAAAATCTACCCTAGCAGCAATGCAGACACATTCAGCTGAACTCCCAAGATCAGCTGAAATTGCATGACAAAAAAGTTGGTGGTAACACAAGAAGCCTCCATCCCCAGCATTCCCATATACTCATCACTGTGTTGAAAGAGTTCGGTACACCTCCGCCTCCACACGTGTGGTTTTCCCTTGCCTCTCATGCATTCACCTGAGTGCAAGCCTGCCAGACCTTGACATTTCCCAACAGCCCATTTGGCATCAAGAACGCCAGCAACACTTACTGCTCAGTTTCTTTTCCTTTCTTCAGCATTCTGCAAGTTTGCTGGCTCCTCAATCCCAAGAATGCCTTAATTACAGGGTTTGGGAAAATTATACATCTAAGAGCACAGCCCCAAGACACAAAAAATACAAGCTCACAATAAGAAATTAAGAAAATGAGGAGTGACTGAAATCAGAACCAGATAAAAGGAAAGGGAGTTGCTAGTTTCCCAGCACTCTGATGAAGAGACATCCCCCACACTCAGGTTCTTCCTAAGGAAAGGGTGCTGAGGCAGAACACACAGCTTACAGCTGCTTCCCAAGGTAGCAGTATTGCAAGAATTCAACCAGTCCAACTTTCTGGACTTACTTTGCATGTTCTGGACTTCCTCTGCATTTCTGGGCTTACCTTTGCATATTCTCCCTTCCCCCCCTTACAAAAAAATGGGTATAGACAATATTAAAAAAAAAAAAAAAAAAAAGAAAACCAAACCAAACCTACACAGATCACCTTTTTGCAAAGTGAAACTTCTCAGGAAAAGGGAGATAAGCAATGGTGAGATTGTTACACACTCCCCAAAACCGAACTAAATGCAGTAATATTTATACCCTTCTCACAGGAGCAACAAGATACTTGTCAAGATTACATTTTGCAGTGTTTTGCCTTCAAGCAGCAGTTTTCACAATGAGTAAACACAGCCCACAAGATGAGAAACCCGGTATGACAACTTTATATCAGTACTGCATAAAGCAGATCACAGTACAAAGCTATATAAAGAAACAGCAGGAGCAGGGAAGGCTGAGCTGCTTCTAGTGGTCTAGCTGAGCACAGAATTACTCAATACTCCACACCAACGCCCCCCCAACACTTCCACCCGCTAAGCAAGTGGGAATACAAGAGTTGCGCATTTAGGCACTCGGGGTACAACCACAATTGAAGTTGCACACACAGAGTCATTCTCTGCTCCCTTGTGTGAGAACTCATCATGTACCTGATTCTAGACTTCAAATCTGTTCTTCCTCATTCTGTGTCCATGAGATTCTGCTATCACCCTCTTCATAAGGCTGCAGCATTTAGGAGCCCAGCACATAGCAGCTTGGCATATATTTTAGGAATCTAGTAGACAATTATACTCTTGCCCCCAAAGCAGAAGCACAAACAGCTAGCCGTACTTCTCTGCCACATTTTGCTGCTTTCTAGGTCTTGTAAGGAGGCTCTGGGCAAAAAGCCCTCTCTATGCAAACGTTCTTTATGCTGTTGATCTTCATGTCAGAGTGCTGGGCCCTAGACACTGAAAAAGAAGTCTTGTGTTTGGTCTCTCATACATGTACTTAAGACAAATACCTTCACGTGATCAGAACAGTACAGATATCGCTGAGAAGAGACAACTCTCCCTACAATCTGGGCTCTAAATGCTTTACCTCAAATATTCCCTGAGCTGCAGGTCAGGCAGCAGTACACAGGGGAGTGTCTTTTCCCCACTAAGGACAGAGCAAACTTTGCTCCTAGACATCCTTTTTTGACTTCCCATTTGAGGGCAACAGAAAATGCTGCTTTTACCAATTATTTTTGCTGAAGAAAATGAGAAAGGAGTGGTGGTAGCATGGGACAGCAGTTTGGAAGAGAAGATCCGAGGCCCAGAGATGCAACTGGAGAACAGTGGTAGAATTCAAAAGGGTTAGAAATTAGGATGCTGAACGGAGAACAGGCAGATATATTCTTATGAAAGTACTTTCAAAGGATTTTTCTACCTTTTAAAAACACGAAATTCCTTAGGTTAGATAAATACAGAAGGCAGATGCACCTCCTCTTATGTGAGACCATAAGAAATGCAGACCAGAATAGAGGAAAGGACACAAAAACCAGCACATAGAGGAACATTTCTGAATCTGCCATAATATTAGAGACCTGTGTATAAAGTTAAAAAAAAAAAAAAACCCAAACAAACAAACCACCAAAAAAAAGCACCCCATATCCTATCAACTAGAAAAGCCTGGATCACCATTTTTAACAGTATGGTTCTGTGCCAAAATTGTTCTCCTTCAGTAGCAGCACACGAAATATAATTAGCACTCCATCACCTGCACCTAGAAAAGCATGTAGTTGTCTCTGTGTGTTACACTGGTAACACTGCACATTACGGGAAAGAGGAAAAACCAAAGATTTGGCACTTAGGTTAGAAATAGCAGTAATCGTCAAGAAAAGTTAAGCCATATTTCTTCATGTTTCCTATGTTAGCAGAAACTACTCATTAGATCTTATAGCATAAGATGGGCCAGAGAAGTCAGAGAACATTTTCTTCCAAGAACTGTATCCTAACATCTTATTTCTAATCTTCCAAGAATTGCCAAGGAGTAGTGTCTTGACCATACCCTGCACACTTACCCCTCTACACACACACCTGCAATCCCATGCAGCGTCTCACCTCCTTCCTGTAAAGCTCCATGAACAAAAAGCACAATAAAACACGCCCTGGTCGGTCATATACAGGAGGCTGCAATCAGCAGAGTTTATGCTGGAAAGCAATAGGGGAAGAGATCCTAAGTAAACCATACCCAGAGCTTATGACCAGTTTGGGCGCTACTCCAAGACAGAGGGCTAGCAGCAGAAGAAATCCTAGCGAAATGATTCGGATAAAATTAGAGTAATAAACTGTACTTTGGAGCCTGGCAGTGCATGCCTCTGCCTTCCATCACCGGACACTCCAAGTGGTTAAGCCACACTATAATTCTCTTGCTCTCTACCACAAAGTGCGTGCTCAGATTCAAGAGTACTTCCTGGGTAGTGACCAAAAAGAGTTTTTCACCTAATCTAAGCCAGTCAAATTGCTAGAGAAGCCTAACAGCTACAAGGGCAAGGAGACTTTAGGAAACAGCAGACACCTTCCCTGCACTCCACTGACTTCTGGTTGGAAAAGCAGCACAATGGCCGTGGCTAACAGTAACCTCAGAGCCTAACGTCTCATCAGCAGCCACAAGTAACGCCACCTCCATATTCATAAAGGCTTCTGCATCCCCCAAGCCCACCAGCTAGATTGCAAGTACAGGGAATGCAACAGACATTAAGGTAACGGCAGCTCTGCCTTCATAGGAGAAGGAGACTATACAACACCCTGAGGTACAATTGTAGCCCCAGCAGCTCTGATACCAAGAGCTCTGAAAATACAGCAGGCACACTAAGGCCTGCACCACAGCCTGACACATGTATATACAACGCAAGGGCTCTCCTCACTGCTGCATGCACACAACTAGACTACCCTCACTGGCCTGCTCCCCTGCCACGCAAAGAGCATAAACCCTTCAGCCTCACGCAGCCATGGGCATGAGGAGCCCAGCCACCCCTGACAGGAGCTTGTACACCTCTCACCGCACTTTCTTGTTCCTACACCCCAATTGGCACACACACCTGGCAGCTTGGTGCCATAGGTATGGGAATTTCTTTGCTCGGGAGGAACTGCATGTCTGTAACTATGCAGTGTCTATTATACACCAGCAACGGTAAAGACAAGGGGGTGCCAGAGATACCACTTGTTCTCTATTCACAGGACCTGCTGAAAGATTAAGATGCCCTTGCTCCCGATTAAATGCGATGGGAGGGCCTGGGCAAGCATTTAGGACAAGTAACATTATGTTAAATACAATTATTTTGTAAATTAAAGACAGAGGTGTTAACAGAACCCCAAATAACAGTACCTTTGGAATTTCAATTAAAAGATAATGTCCTCTTTTGCAATGTATTCCGTGCAGATCCAAAGTTGGCAACACTAGGAAGGAAGCACCAATTCTGCATCCCACCACAAACAGCAACTGTACTTTAAACATAGGCAGTACTCACACTCAAATTACTAAATAAAATTATCTTCTAAACTACCAAACTTTTTTCTGGGTTGAAATAATCTACAGAGCCAGTCAAAAAATATTTCCTCCCTTCCTCTACCCCTTTTTACTGATTGGAATTTGTACTCTAAATAAGCAAAAAATAACAATATAATTGATGCTTTTCATTCCTGAGGTGAGATAAAGATGCTTTCTTTGTCACCTTGATGGGGGAGAGGGTAGAAAATAGAGGGGAAGAAATAAATCAGGCAGACCATGTCAAAAACAACGGTGATCTATGATAGCAATTGGCTGCATTTGCAAAGCTGAGTAAGCAGAAAGACATGTGAGCATTATTGGTCCCAACAGAACAAAATAGAAAAAGAAGATAAAAACCCTCAAGTTAAAATGGGCAAGCATACAACTTATTATACAACACACACAAAAAGGACTTTGACATCTTCACATGGTGTTTACAGTTCAAGCAAAGGCCTCCTTATCCTGAACACCCCTCTGTGCTGACCCACAGACACAACATAAAACCGTTTCTCCTTTCTCAAAAACTCAGAGCAACCTTTTCCAAAGTGGGATTTCTCCTCTCCCCTGAGCACCGCTCTGAAGTTAACACAGACGATGCAAGTAATGACATAGTTGGAAGAAAAGCCTCTATGTAGGCACAAGCTATCCAAGGAAGAGGCAAATTTCTGTTCTCTCCTTAGGCGAATACAAGGGAGCCTGGCTGCTGGCTTTTATAAGCACTGGGAGCAGTTAGGGACTCAAATCACCAGAGATACTCGTCAAAACAACAGTCAGAGAGCAGAGGCAGCAGCAGATTAACTCCTTCATGGTTGCTGGCTACAGCACTGGGCTCACAGCCGAGGCTGGAGCTCACACGAATAGGATACGGCAGGGGTCAGGGCACACAGAGAAAGGCATCTGGGGCCTGACTGCCAAAAAAGGGTGGGGAGGGGTCACATGAGGGGTGGAAGAAGGGGAAATCAAACCTATATTCTGCGCGCACACACACCGCCTTACATACATATAACGTGCTTTTTCAGGAGGAGGAGGTGTTTGTAAGAGAGCTCACTTTCACATCGTAAATCCCCCAACTCCAAGTTTTGCCAACAAAATGTACTTTTCATCACAGGGACTATAACATTTACATTTGTGTTGCAAAATTAGCAGAGTTTTTGGAATAAGACCAGAAACAAGGGAATGTTCACACCTGTCACGGTTTGTTTTCCTTCAGAAATGTCAACACAGGCTGAGACTTTTCAACTCCAGCTGGTCTCTCTAGCTGCTCCGAAGGCGATGATCCATTACGCGTGCATGCACATACACACACACACTCCGTGTTGTGGCATAACAACTGAACTAATTGGGACCAGCATTCAGCATT